ACTCTCTTTACACGAGGCATCGGAGTTAACGTCCCCATTCTGAACGGACGTGGCTGCAAATTTGAACATCCCGCACAGCCAAACGGACGCCCCACTTTAGCACGGGTTTTACTGCCGGTCGGAGGAAGACCAATGGTGACCATACTTCTATTCCCCAGTCACCCTTGGGGGTAGACTAAATAATGTAACAGATAAAAAACTGCACTGAGGGACACCCATCTCTTGATCATACAGATCCGACATGGTTGAATTTACTATTAACATTAAATTGTCTGTTAGACAGAAAATTCGAAAAGATTATCAAGAGTACTGCGACCCTGTCGGAATCCACACTGGATATTGGCTAACAGCCCATTTGATTCCAGGAACCAAACAAGATAATTGACTAACCGTTCTAGTTTTACAGACACAACTGGTAAGAGCAATTGGTCGATAATTAATAGGATCCGTGTTATCTTTACTTGGTTTTGGAATAGGCACGACGGTTGCAAGCTTCCAAATTGATGATAAATCACCAGATTCCCAGATGTTATTCATGAGATGCAAAAGAGCTTCCAGCGAGGAATCTGGCATGAGTTTTAAGAGTTGATAGTGAATATTATCAGTCCCACAAGCTGTATCATGGGCTTTTGACAGAGATGTTTTAAGTTCTTCCAGAGAAAATAGTTTTTTTTATAATTTTCACCATTTTTCGATTTGAAGTTCAATTTCATTTTTCCAATTTCATTTTTCCTTTGTTTTTTTTTTTAATAACTTTTTTAAAATCTTCCCTGTAGTTGTTAGAAGAAGGTTTCGCAAACGTTTCACCAAGCTTGTTGGCAATATCTTTTTCAGATGTTAATATATTATTGCCATCTTTCAAAAGTTTTACCGTGGCTTTAGAATTTTTACCTTTTGTATCATGTTCCATACTTTTGTCATCGCAGTGCAAGATGTTATCCCCGAGACAATTTTTTTTCCAAGAAGTCCGCCGCGCGAAAAATACGGAAATTACTGTAATTTCAAACCATGGTTTGCTGGGATGTTTCGGATTTGCCGATGTCTTAGGAATTGTTCTGTCAGCAATTGACTTTAAAACTGTGTTAAAAGTTAAAATGGGATCTTGAACAGTCTCAAACAAAGGCCAGTCCGCCTTCTCGAGTTTCCAACGTGGAATCTCTGCTGAGCAGAAGTAAAAAGATGTTCGAGAATTATTGGGAAGTGATCACTTTCACATAGATCATCATGGACACGCCATGAATAATCCAGAAGAAGAGACGGATCGCAAATAGTGATATCAATAGCAGAATAAGACCCGTTTCCAAGGTGGAGATAAGTATTAGATCCATGATTGAAAATGCATAGTCCTTCTTGTGAGCCAAAGTCTTCAATGATCTTATCAATGAGACTTGCTTCCCCACAAGGGATTGTGAGCATAAAACCATGGTTTAAAGTCTCCCATAAGTATAAAATTGAAAACAACACGTTTAATAATTTCATGCGTCCGAAGCGCTTTTCTGGATTTACCTTCATCAGGAACGCTCAATGCCAAACATTTGAAATCCGAGAGATGTATAAGTATAAAAGGTGAAGGTAATTGATCAGTAAGGTTTTTGAGTTTAGCTTTATCTATATTTGAATTAGTAGGAATATATATAGAATATAATGTAATTGTTTTATCCAATGATAAACGAATTGCGACTGCCTGCAGATCTGTGGTGAGTTGGACTGTGCTATGAATGACGTTCCCCTTCACACAAATGGTTGATCCGCCTGCAGCACGTTGAAAATGTGCTATAAATGTTGTATCCTTTTAAAGATACATTATCACTTTATTTAAATGAGTTCCTTGAAGACAAAATGCAATAGGTATAAAAGTCTGAACTAGAAGCGTTAACTCGAGATGATTTATTTTAAGACCTCGGCAATTCCATTGAATGATATCTGTCATAGTTTATGAATAGAAGGACGAATGCTATCGAGTTTGCCAGCATTTGTACTTCGATCACCTTGAGATTGTGATCTTTCTGGGTGGCACAACACTTTCGAGTCCATTTCTCATAAATCATTGAGTAAGGTAAATCTATTTTGTAAGGAGAGTCCTCGATCTCCTTGAATAGACGGAGCTGATGTTACTCCGCCTCGAACTCTACCCCGCGACCTCCTTTCAGAAGACTTCTAAGAAGACGGATTTGCTGACGTTTTGGAGATACTCTTCTTTTCTGGAGAACGAAGAGGAGACAAGGCTTTTGTAGACTTTGTACGAGATGCAAGAGATGAACTAGAAGACGCTTTATTAGACGTAGATGTAGTATGACTATTTAAGACGAATGAATTATCGGGAAGATCCCAGACAGACCCAGTGCCCCAACTGTCTGATACAACCACATATGATTTACTTGATTTCTTTTTTTCATTTTTTTAGGTGATGACATTGAGCTCTGTGAGGAAGATTGAGTTGACTGAGTACTGGTTTTAGAAGGTTTTGGTTTTCTTGGAATAATTATTTTATCGGAAGTTTCTAATTGAACAGGCAACATTATAAAAGTTTCAGCATCAATTGGCCAGTTCATGCGAGTTTGTGTATTCTCGTGACTGAATGAGCGGCCAACTTTGCTGGCGTACGATGGTTTGTTCGAAACTAGAGGATCATTCGAAACAGAAGCTACCTGTTTAGCCTCTGGGTAACTGATATTTCTTTCTGTTTTAATTTTAATAATATTTTTTTTTCTTTAAGGTAAACAGGGCAGTCACTAGATGATGAAAAATGGGACTCACCACAGTTTATGCATTTAGAAGATTCAGAGCAACAGGTTGTTCCCTCGTGTCCTTCGTCAGAACACTTGAAGCATCTCTGCGTACCACAATATTGTTTGGTTCCATGACCAAACTTTTGACAAGTGAAGCATTGAATTGGGTTACGGAAAAACCTCTCAACTCTAATTCCGAAGCAAACTAAAATAATCGATGAAGGAGTTGGAGTTCTAAAGGTCAAAAGATATGTATTTAATTTGGTTATAGCTCCATTCTTTTTTATTTGAAATCAAACATCAGTTACACCTTGGCTTGAAAGTTCCTCACAGATTTCTTCCACGGTAAGGTCACCAACGTATTGACTTCTGTCGAATGATCCCCTTACAGCTGTTCAAACTGTTAGGTCACCAACGTATTGACTTCTGTCGAATGATCCCCTTACAGCTGTTCAAACTGTTGTGAGGAGAGGCAGAAATAGGATAAATGATTCATGCATATTCAGGACGAAAACAAATTAACAATAAATACAATAGGTAGGTTCTGTCCGGGGTTAAGGTCGGCAAAATTTAGACTGCTACGGGAAATGAGGGAATATTGGATAGGGACAGAAATTTAGCCTTGCAACAGGTCACCTACGGACCCCTCAAAGAGTTGTTGCAAGGGTTCTTAACGTGCTGAGAGCGTGGCACTTTCTTCACACGAGGCATCGGATTTAACGTCCCCATTCTAACCGGACGTGGCTGCAAATTTGTACATCCCGCACAGCTAAACGGACACCCCACTTTAGCAAGGGTTTTACTGCTGGTCGGAGGAAGACCAATGGTCACCATACTTCTATTCCCCAGTCACCCTTGGGGGTCGGCAGAAACAGGAAAGTTTGTAATTGTTTTCATTGTAAGCAAATTGTTGATTGACTTTTGTTGGAACATTCAACCAACAAATTCCCTGATCTCATTTTTGAAACTTTTTTTAACAGTACCAGCAACGCTTTGCATTTGTTTGTTTATCACAAAGGCAGATATTTCGGAAATTGGTTTTTCATCTGTACCTTTTATTACAATTAATATGGGCTAACTGGCATCTTCCCGACAGGGCACTTAATCTTCACATTTTCTTTTTTTTGTGTATTAAAGCTGATGAAGAGGGATGGTTTTGATGTGCCATAGGAAAAGAGAAAGGTTCGCCATTCTTGTCATCCACCCACCTCGGAGTGCCTACAAGGGCGATGCTGTATTTCCGTAGCGAGCCGGGGTCAAGTGCTAATGATGAAAAAGAGCTTCAAGTATAATGTAGCTCTTCTCCAAATTAAGCACCCAAGATCCACTGCGGAAAGCACCAGATGTTCCAAGAATAGTATACTCTAGCAGAACGTTTCCATCAAACGAAATAGAAAACGTACAACTTGATTGACCCATGAGCCATCGCCTTCGTCAGTTATCCGAAATATAAATAGCTTAATTTAAATACATGTGTATACACTGACAATTGTTACAAGAAAGCTTATTGTTGAGGATTGACTGAAGGGCTCGGAATGACCAGCCGATTGATCGGACCGGGTCCATCCGACCTCCCGTTTAGATGATATCGGAGCCAAAGCAGCTTATTCAACAATAGTCTCGTCCGTCCGGGTATTTTCTGACCGTAAGGAGTCTGGCTACAGCCCTCATCCGCAAGGATCTCGTCAACCACCGACACGGGTAGAAACCCACGGCTAAAGGGTTGGGGAGCCTATTTTATTTAAAACATCGGACAACTCGTACGATGTTCGGATCACTTTAGTCTGGCCTCTACCCTCCGACCTGTCCAGCATGGGTAACCCTACCAGGAGACAAAGCTCCAGCTGGCATAGCTCCCAGGGTCACTGAGACACGCAAGCCCAAAGTGAAATTTATAATCATGAAGATACGCTGTTAACATGACCCGTTTTAATGTTTTAGGTCTAAATTGGAGAGCTGTAGCACATACCCGAGGTCACTGAATGTTACAGCTCCCCAACTTAAGGTTTTAAAACCTTCTACTGGTTCAGATTTAAAGGGATAGTAGCTACGATTTTGACAAAATTTTGAGAACGTTTAAAAGTGGCCAAGATGAAAGATACATACTTAAAATAAACTATGAGAACACTGAAATGTTTATATAAAAGTAGAAGTGTTAATAATTCCTAATTAATACCAGGTTGTGTGCCTGGCTATCTCATTAATTATGCATCGTTTGTGCGTTTCCGAAGTTTGCTGACACAGCGTGTGAAATGACCCAGATACATCGATATGAATGGAGAGGTAAGCATGTGCATTATATTCTTATAAATATCTTATTATTTCTTCCAATAAATGTATTATTTGACGATATTTACGATTAAATGTCCTCAGAATTCAACTCCGTGTATTTATTTCAAAATACAAACCCTAAACTTCCACTTGCTCCCGATAGTGTATGTTAACTGAAATGGGGCATCCCAAAGGGGTACCGATAAACAGAAAGGATAACGAGAAGAGAATACTTATTTCTGTGATTTGTATATTTTAGATAGGTTGGTTTTGTTATAAATTGAAATAAAGGTTTTTGAAAATTATAAATCTATAATTTAAGGAGATGGGATCGATAGTGTTAAGTAGGGTTTATACGTGTATAACGCATAATACTATAATGATCTATCTCATTCACTGGTCTTTCGTTTTCCGTTTTTTTTTAAATATCAATGTACGTTGAAAATTCATTTTAACTAAACAAATTCATTTATTGCAATGTAGATTTCACGACAGTCAGGAAACAGTAGATCTGAATCTCCATCTTCCAACATCGGCGATGGTCGGGGATCTTCATCCAGTCCAGAAAGGCCTACCAGAGGCAGGGGACGTGGACGTCGCCAGTTTCGTGGACGAGGTCCGAGAAATGTTGGTCGTAGAGTTAATAGAAGGCCTGTGTATGGACCAGCCTTGCCAACTTGGGAAGAGTTAGCTGTCCAGCGAAGAGAGGAAAGAAATGTTCAAATGAGGGTAAATATATCTCTTTTATATTTTTTTTTCTCAATCAATCAATGATCATTTTGCATTGTGTACAATTTGTATTGTGTTGTTTCTATGTATTCAACCCCTCGGGGTATACATGAGCAGTTCGTTAATAAATATAAATAAACTTTCTTCCATAGATAGATGTATCAAAATGGAAAATAATAAGGAGACATCGAGGGTTACACATTTCCTTTAATAAATATAATTGTCATATTGTAAAAATGTATAGTAAACATGGTTGCAAACATTTTCTTTTGTCTTTCAGGAACGAATTTCTCAGATGTCGGCAGATGGTTTGAGAGATTTGGTGTTGAGTATGTTTGACAAAGATCCATCAATTATGTTGAACATTGTAGACAGGAATTCACAAACTGAAATTCAAGGATACCATCCTAGACCTGAGAGTAATGCCCCATCTTGGTGTGTTTGTACCAAGTGCAGAGAAATGCCCACTGAGGAGGAGAAAAAATGTTGCAGGCAAACACTACAAAATTGCACATCCACATTACCGGTTAATTTTTTTCAGTGCCCTTGTATTTATCAATTAACAGGTCTTCAGAGAAAATAAAAATAATACCAGACAGGTGACTTTATATGAGTCAATTATTTAAATCAATTTAATTTGCAACTGGACTGTAGCCTAGCCACCTAGGAAAACCATACCTTCACATAGCTTTGACCATAATTCTGCTAATAGTTTATTGAAAAAAATGTATAAATATTTTTTCCTAGTTATATTACACTCTTTGTTTCATTTACAGGATTTTGATTTGGTTCTCGTTATTGCCAGAAGATATAGACAAGACGTTTTGGCTGCAGGTGAAGATGATGATTACAATAAAAGTAACCGCCATGCCGCCTACAGGCTTTATATATTTTTGGTTCATGGTCACCTTAGTGCAGGAAACAGAAGGGTCATTCCAAGTTGTTGTGTCTGGAAAATTAGAGACAAATATCCAGATAGTTTTGGGAATTACAGGGGTTTTATTGGTGGTCGTCTGGGATAATGAATATAACATTATTAAATATGTATAAACTTTTAATTGTATATATTTGTTGTTTTTTGTCAGTAGTGTACCAGTGTACAGATATAAAATAGATATGATGTAAATGTCTTGGAACTGTCTTTAAATTTAAATTCTTGAAAGTATAGAAGATTACATGTACTGATTGGTTGGTGTGTGGTTAATATCAGTAGCACATATTTCATATAAAAAAGAAGATGTGGTATGAAACCAAAATGACACAGAAATTAACAACTATCCAGGGCTGCTTCAAACAAATCAAGTCTTAACAGATGACAATACAAAATCAAAAAGAATCATTTATGCAGATTCAAAGCTACTTGTTAAAGATCTTCTTCATAATGAGCTTGTTGTCAGCTATCTTTTCACAGAAAATTACTTTGCTTTATTGGTAGTTTTGCTCATCTATATCATGGAACATGAATTTTATCAACTTCTCAAAGACGTCAAATGCATACAATTAACACACAGGTTTCAATATTGGAATCCCTGATGAAAAAATTTGCAATTTCAAACTCCTTTCAAAAAAATGCTTATATTCAATACAACATGTTGATGTGATATGACAAGGAACCCAGTCTTTTAGTAGACCAACCCACTGAACCAGATTTTTATTATGATTGTTCACAGTATAACAGCCTGCAGAAAGATATGTCACCCAATCTATACGCATCTTTTGACTCCAAGGCAACCATACTTTGATCCTACTCCTAAATGCTGCATGATTTGTAGCTGAGAAGCAGCAATGTCCAAATTACAAGTCTTTAATTTTATTCAAAGAAGTCCTGTAAGCGATTTTGGTGGTTTAAGTTGATAAAAAAAAAACATGATAGGCAAAAGGCTTGAACAAACAAGCTGAGAAAACCAACTGTCAATTTTTGAAATAATAATTGTTTTGAAGGCTTAATAAGATTTATTCTGCCCAGTAGTCAATTGTCCTGTCCATGTCATCATTGGTCCTGTTTGAGCTGTCATCAGTGAATCTTGACCGCTGTAACTCAACAATCTGCTGGGTAGGTGGTGGTGGAACTGGTGCAAGGTGTGCCGACACTCTAGGATCATCCTCTGATTCATTCCAATTTCATCAGCAAGTCTTTTCAAAACAATTTTCTCAATGACCTGAGGTATGTAGGCATAATCCTTCAAAGTTTTGCATGGTGTTACAGACCAGCGGCTGCTTTTTTTCTGAAACACTCTCTGATACCTGGAAAAATACAAAAAAAATATTGCAAAAATTAAATTATGATTTAGAAAATAAAGTGATAAACCATGAAAGCATAATACATTTAGTACAAAAATTAATATTGATTTGTAAATTTAAATAAGAGAAAGTTGCTAAACAATATTGAAAAAATATAAAATTTGCTTTTGCACAAGGGAAAACAATGTAAAGAAAAAATAATGTTTTTACCTTACTGATCCATCTTTGTTTGTCAAGATTGATCGACCAATGTGACCATTATGGTCTAAAGCTGCCAACAAGTTCCGACATCTATATGTTGGTGGTCTATACGAATGCCTTTTTGATGCATACATCAGAATCAGATTCTGGAAATTTTCCAGTTCTGCTGTACTTCTGAAAGAAATACATTTTTTAAGATTTCAATAAATATACACAAAAATAAATCAATAATAAAATAAAATTATGTGTTCTTTAAAATAACTTATAGGAATGTATAAATCTTCTGCAACTACGTGTTAATGATGAAAAGGATCTATCCAAATAAAATATTGTTTTATTCACAGCAAAGCAGAAATTTGTAAAAACAGTCTTTTTCCTATAAGCTTTATATATCAACCTGTCTTTTGTTTAAATAATATGATGACCTAATTGTATTGTTAATACCTGCAGTTAGTATAGTGGGGAATATTGTTGATCAGTCTTTTGTTCATGACTATATCTCTCAATGCACAATGTGCTGGTGAATCTTTCTTCAACCATCCTTTATCTCTTTCTGAAGACAAGGGTCCATGTTCGCACTTGTTATTAGTGCTATACGCAAAAATCCACTCATGTTCGTCTACTACATGGTGCAGAACACCAATCCACATTCCCTAAAATAAGCCACCAGTCACATTAAATATCAAGTATTATACAATTCATATTATATTTTTAAACATACATATTTTGTTATTATCATGATTATCAGGACAACACAAGCTTTTATAGGTACACATAAGGCTGGATATTTGGTCATTTTAATTCTGTTTTTATGTAATTGTATATATATATGTTACACAATAATAAAATAAATCATTATTATTCAACAAATAATATATTCATGAGAAAGCTAACCAAGACACAGAAAGAAAATAGAAATGCAAAATCAGACCCAAATGGAGTAATATTATAAAAAAAATTAGTTTGAACTCGAAATGAAACAGATATGAATAAAAAATCCATCTCACCATGAACTCTTCTTTAGTGTTACATGTTTGTGCAGTGTACCAAAAATGATTCACCACATCTTTTGTCCATTCGAACAATTCTTTGCACTTCTTGTCTTGACCTGCTTAAATACAAAAAAAAAATCATAATGTTTCAATTTAGTATATATCAAAACAAATAAAGAGAATGATTTATGAAAGTGCAAATATATAATATAAAGTACAATGATCCTGGATTTTAAAAAAGGTCTATGCATTAACCGGATATATAGTTCATTGATCTTCACCAGTTCTTGTGTTGTTTTTTGCCTAAGTTGATGGTTTTATTAATCATGATGAATGCAAATTGAAGATCTGTTATAGTCTGTAATAATCTAGACTTGGGTCATCAGACATTAGACTTATCAGAGCGTATACCTGGTCTCAACTTCAAATGGTATGTGAGGGGTTGCTGTTTACCCAAAATAAAAAATTTTGTTCATACATAATTCTTACTTTGATAATCTTTTTCCCTAAATTTTTGGTACCATGCCAAACATCCCATGAATGTTTCACATCTGGATAGTCCTTTTCTGCAAGATAATAAATCAAGAATGAGCATTGAAATAATAATACATTGTACATGTATCAAAATTAGATTTCAAACGATCGCAATAATTGAAACTCACTTTTTTTTTTAAAATGAATCAAACATGATTTTTCACAATATCGCAACAATTAAAATCGCATTTTAGTCTAAAATAACAAAATCGCAATAATAAATGCACTCCATTATTTCTGAATTTACAGTAACACAATGGTTAGCATTATGAATATAATGTTTTTTTATTAATATAAGGGATAATGTATAGTAGCACTAATATGATTGGTTGACATCTCATCAATATTTACCCCATATCACCTTTTAACTAAACTTGAAAAATTTTACTTACTCATGATGGAGGCAATCTGTACATGAGCATCAGTCACTACTTCTGCTATTTTAAGACCATTATCTAAAAGGAACTTGAGGCACTTTAAAAAACAAGCCTTTTCCAAGTTTGTGCTTTTCTTTTCTGTCATTCTTTTGTCCATAGTAACAATGCACAAAATCTGTTACTGATGTTCTCCGTGAAGGTATAGGAGCAATACTGGGCTGAGTGTCCTGGGCTGTCCATTCGTCCATCCCCTTTAAACCAAAAAATAATATTTTAGTTGCTTTGATTTTCAACACTAGACTAAAATTGCATTGACAAATTTTAAGACATGTTTATTTTTTAAATAATTTATCAATGATGTATATTTCTTTCCAATTTTTTTCACTGATCTTAAAAACTAACAAACTGAAACAAAGCCAGAGTTCCGGAGCTGTAGTTGCTGTTATAGAAATTAAAATGTTATAAAATTTGTATAAAGTGCATACCAAGAATTACCAAATCTTGTCCTCTAAAACTGTCTAAAATAGCATCCTGATGATCAATCCAGTATTCATCTACTGATGGTATCACATAATGTCGCTGTATCTTGAAAAAGGTAGATTTGCTCAAGATGGGCAATTTCAAGTATTTGGCAAACATTGATATCTTTTGAAAATTGCTCCCTGAGAGGACAACACTTGCAGCTATCATCATGTCACCACTATGCATACCTCTGTTCAATATTGGCTGTGAACACCATTTATGTGCAATGTGACCATTTTGACATACCTTAAAAACAAATAAATAAAAATGTAATAATCAACAAGACTTGTATAATTTTAAATATATATACCTTATATATATATATATCATTATTGTTCCTGAATGTGTTCGGACTCACAAAAATGATTGGATCAAAATCTTTCTTTCTTTTTAAATACATTGTACAAAAAAAAAAAAAATTAACACGAGATATTGAATTTGTAAAAATCTTAACCTAGTAAAATTATGAAATTTACCCATTTCAGATAAATAGCCGATGCAACCACTTCCTTCTCTATGTCAACCTCCAAACCACATCCTTTAACGCTGCATATTTTCTGAATAGAAGTCATTGCTAAATTGAGGAGCTGACTGTAAAAAAAAGGCAAGACATGGGTGGTCTGCCAAAAAATCTTGAACTTCTTCATCAGAGTCAATGCGTTTCACACCAGGACCAGAATAAAAATCTGTCTGCTCAGGCTCATTGCTTATTGTTATGCGTTTACCTTTCTACATTGGCTAGAATTATAGGGGGAGGGTTGAGATCTCATAAACATGTTTAACCCCGCCGCATGTTTGCGCCTGTCCCAAGTCAGGAGCCTCTAGCCTTTGTTAGTCTTGTATTATTTTTAATTTTAGTTTCTCGTGTATAATTTGGAGTTTAGTATGGCGTTCATTATCACTGAACTAGTATATATATTTGTTTAGATTGATTGATTGTTGGTTGCTTAACGTCCAGTGGCAAATATTTCATGCATATTCAGGACGAGAACAAGTTCACAATAAATACAATAGGTAGGATCTGTAATAGATTAAGGGATTAAGGTCGGAGAAATTTAGACTGCCACGGGAAATGAGGGTATATTGGATAGGGACAGAAATTTAGCCTTGTAACAGGTCACCTACGGACCCCTCAAAGAGTTGTTGCAAGGGTTCTTAACGTGCAAAGAGCGTGGCACTCTCTTTACACGAGGCATCGGATTTAACGTCCCCATTCTGACCGGACGTGGCTGCAAATTTGTACATCCCGCACAGCCAAACGGACGCCCCACTTTAGCACGGGTTTTACTGCCGGTCGGAGGAAGACCAATGGTGACCATACTTCTATACCCCAGTCACCCTTGGGGTTATATTTGTTTAGGGGCCAGCTGAAGGACGCCTCCGGGTGCGGGAATTTCTCGCTGCATTGAAGACCTGTTGGTGACCTTCTGCTGTTGTCTGTTCTATGGTCGGGTTGTTGTCTCTTTGACACATTCCCCATTTTCATTCTCAATTTTATCATCATCATAAATTTCATCCTCTTCATCTTCTTCTATTACATTTCTTGTGTCATCAGCCTCACTGAAAGAACATAAGATGTCTAATACAAATGAAAATCTATATACATATGTGTAATCAATATCTGTTTTTGTACATTTAGGACTACATTAATATGATGAACCACAAGTAAAGCAGTGAGGTGTTCTTATACCTTGAATGTTAATATCTTAATAATAAGACCTCTATATAAGTTTCAATTACATTGCATTTAATAGTTGCCTTATGAAACTAAAACTAAAGTGAATACATACCCAAAAGTAATATTTAAGCTAGGCTCATAATCCTCATCATCTGAACCACAGTTGTTGCTTTCTACTTCTGTTATATCAATTGTTAATCTAAAAGCAGAAGAGAATTTAAAAAAAATTATAAAGGATATTTGTGTACATATGTAACTTAACATGGGATATATTAAGTATGTATGGCTAGCAAAATTAAAAACTTCCATTTGTTGTTTGCACACAGTCAAGGTCGTTAAAAACTTCCATTTGTTGAAAAAAGTTAAATACAATATAACAAGTTCCTTATATTTTATCAGAAACAAGGTGACATTATCATTTATATAAGTTCAGTCGTATAAAATCTTTTCTACATTTTCTTTTTCTGACCACCAAGTTAAGAAGAGCTGCCATTTGTATTTCTTTTTTTTCGGTGTTCAATTCAATATCTTTTTTCAAAATAAAACTTACACAAAAGGATTTATGAAACTGCTGGATTCTTTCAAATGTGACCGTCTACGACTTGGTAATTCTTCAATCCCTGAGATATGTGCATCAGAATCGCTGAAAATAAACCATGAAGTATTTATGAATTCCACATTCAATCTAAGCAAATTGCATGAGTTATATGTAAATGAAACACCATTATTTACTTTTTCTGTTTAATTTCCAATCAGCATCATATTACAATTTAAATGTACGTATAAAATAAGAAATAAAATAAATTGTTAACTTTCTAATCATTTGCGGCATAATATTAGCAAATACATACTCAGCTTGTCTTTCACTCTCAGAAGATGAAATTCTGGACATATCAGACATGGGTTGAATATTGTCAGCAAGAGGACCTGGTGTTGAAGTCAATGCTTTTGGGTCCGGTGTTGCATAATTCATACTTGGACTGGAGTGAGCAGCATATGTTGGAGTTTTAAATTCTTCATGTTTTGATTTTTTACTTGGAGTCATGGCTTTGGGTTCTGGTGTTGCACTTTTCATGCAGGTACTGGAGTGTGTGTTGGTGTTTTGAACACCTTATTGACTTCAAAGTTTGATCTCTTTCTTGGACTGATATTTCTGTCTTGAATTGCATACCTATGAATGATATTTTAACTTAAAATCAATTGAAATTTCAGATAAAATGCCGAATACACTTTTTATAACAGTAAGTTAAGATTTCCCCTTTGCGGGGCCTCGTGAATGCACGCATTTGTTTACACTTATAATTATCGCTTTTTCATACATTTCTTCATCCAGAATTAAGTAAACAAACATCATTTGACAATATATAAACAAATAAGAAGCAGTGTGTTTCTTTGAAATATGAAAAAAGTCTGTTTTGGAACAAGAATTTTGAAGATATAAATGTAAACAACACACAAACCTGTCCAACAGAAGTTTAGCAACTTGTGTGTGACTTTCCAGACGTAACCGGTCTTTCAGGTCATTCCAACGATCAATCTCGTCTCCAATGTGGATTTTCGACTTCTGATAAGCGGCCTGTGCATCTTTTCTGTTCCTCTTTCTTGCAGAATCTGTGAGAGTACGTTTTCTTCCTCGCGCTAAATTTCCTCTATCCGACATGTTTACTTTCATTTACGCGTTGCGCATGCGCATTTTAATTGTCGAACACAGGTCAACTATAGGTCGTATGAATAAAGGCGGTCGTTACAGCGATATATTGTCTATAGATAATAATTCATTTCGGTGGTTAAAACTCTAAAAATCTTCTTTAAACCTTATGAAATGACAATGGGAATAGAATTTTTCCTAATTATTCTTTATATTTGTTTAAAATTCGGCATTTTTAGTTTAAGTCATATTTTAGTGAAAATCGTAGCTACTATCCGTTTAATAATGTCCATGACAGACAGTGTTTTCTTTTTCATAAGCTGATAGTACAGATACAATTTTAACAAAAGGATTTTTATCCCCTTATATTTCGAAGAGATATGTCATATAGTTTCATCTAATATATGACACGAGGGGTTAATTAGACAGCTTCATATAGTTACTTTATGTATGTTTAAGAACAACACAGAAAACAAAAGCCACACAATGTTTGGGAACTTTAGACACATAATGTAAAAGCACAGAATGGACTTATTGGGAGAACACTTCTGAAAGCCACAAAATGTATCATAAAAGAAGAACATTGGTCCATCTGCTGCATCCATTTTTACTGCTGAAGCAGAAGCAATAATTTTGGCCTTGAAATTTATTGCTTCTTCAGATAAATCCAAATTTATTATATGTTCTGATTCACTTTCATGCTAACAAGCTATACAAAATACTAAAATTAAAAACCCAACAATTCTCAAAATTTTACATGTAATGAGGAATTTAAAAATTCTTCTTAAAGAAATATTTCTATGGGTGCCGAGTCATGTTGGAATCCATGGAAACACAGCTGTAGACCTTGAGGCAAAGAATGCCCTGGGTGACACTTTATCTAACTGTGATATACCATATACCGATTTTAAATCTAATATTATAGAATATGTTTTTAATATTTTGAAAAATGATTGGAGTAAGAGAGATGGTACAAATTACATGAAATTAAACCTAATTTAGGTAAACCTTTTAATAATTTAATGTGCAGAAAAGATCAGTGTGTTATTTCTAGATGCCGAATTGGTCATACTACAGTGACACACGAGTATCTTTTAAGAAATGAAGATGAACCACAATGTGTACCTTGCAACTGCAAGTATACTATTAAACATGTTTTAATTCATTGTATTGACTTTGCGTATATTCGGAAGAAGCATTTCAATGTCAATAATATGTATGATTTATTTAATAATGTTCCATTTACAAATATTGTTTCATTCTTAAAAGAAATTGGAATATATTATAAAATATAAAAAATTTTTGTTATATTTAAAACGATTTTAATTTTTATCACGTTATCTTAGTGTTGATTTTTATTTGTAAATAATCAATTTGCTTTAGTCTAGAATTTTAGTTTATTGAAAGACCTTTTGTCTGATTTTAAAAATATACCTCAAATTGTTATAATATTCGAATTAGCTCTCGCCGCGATATAGCCTTTCTCTGCTAATGCGGCGTAAAGCAAACAACAATCAATCAATCAATATTTACTACTTCAGATCTAGGATGGGACTTGTTTCATTGGAAATCATACCACATCTAATTTTTATATACATAAAATTGAGAATGGAAATGGGGAATGTGTCAAAGAGACATCAACCCGACCATAGAGCAGACAACAGCCGCAGACCACCAATGGGTCTTCAATGCAGCGAGAAACTCCCACACCCGGAGTCGACCTTCAGCTGGCCCCTAAACAAATATGTTTACTAGTTCAGTGATAATGGACGTCATACTAAACTCCAAATTATACACAAGAAACTAAAATTAAAAATGATACAAGACTAACAAAGGCCAGAGGCTCCTGACTTGGGACAGGCGCAAAAATGCGGCGGGGTTAAACATGTTTTTTTGGATCTCAACCCCCCCCCCCCTAATACCTCTAGCCAATGTAGAAAAAACAAACGTACAACAGTACGCACAGTTAAACTCAGTTTAAGAGAAGTCCGAGTCCGATGTCAGAATAGGAAACAAAAGAAAATAAACAAAATGACAATAATACATAAAAATCAACAGACTACTAGCAGTTACTGACATGCCAGCTCCAGACCTCAATTAAACTGATTGAAAGATTATGTCTTCATCATATGAATATCAGGTACAATCCCTCCTGTTAGGGGTTTAGTATTATACCGTCATAAAATATATGAGAAGAACATAACCCGTGTCATGCCAACAACTGGTTTTAGAATAAATATGTTTAATGTATAGTTATAATGGATGCGCCGTTTTTAACATAGCAACATGGTGAGTGTGTGTTTTGTAACCAGTTATTTCATGCATTTTTAAAATGACATGGGTTTTTAAAACATCTACATCTAAATTTCTAAAAGTGAAATAACTCTATTAAGGCATTAAATGAAGATTTAGATGTAACTATTTGTAACTATGGTGAATTTATTTGCTGTTTAAAGTTAATATTTTAATTCAATTATATTCATGAAATTAACTAATCAGAGCTTTCAGAAATTTTTTTGTGTCATGCTATTTTTCAATATTTCGATTGATTGATTGATTGATTGTTGGTTGCTTAACGTCCAGTGGCAAATATTTCATGCATATTCAGGACGAGAACAAGTTCACAATAAATACAATAGGTAGGTTCTGTAATAAATTAAGGGATTATGGTCGGAGAAATTTAGACTGCCACGGGAAATGAGGGTATATTGGATAGGGACAGAAATTTAGCCTTGCAACAGGTCACCTACGGACCCCTCTAAGAGTTGTTGCAAGGGTTCTTAACGTGCAAAAAGCGTGGCACTCTCTTTACACGAGGCATCGGATTTAACGTCCCCATTCTGACCGGACGTGGCTGCAAATTTGTACATCCCGCACAGCCAAACGGACGCCCCACTTTAGCACGGGTTTTACTGCCGGTCGGAGGAAGACCAATGGTGACCATACTTCTATTCCCCAGTCACCCTTGGGGGCTCAATATTTCGATGATCATAACTCATAAACAATAAAATTATCAATATCAAACTTGACCTTGATTTGGTTTCCAGTTACAACATATACAAATTTAAAAACCTTGGGTTGAATGGACTTTTTAATATATATTTGATCATCATATATAAAATTGTTTTGTACATACCAATATGGAACTTTTCTTCCATTTTTTCATCGGTAAAAACATAATTAAATTTAAAAGCTTTGGTTATACAGTTCAAAATTTATTGAACAGAAAATACAATAGGTTGCAAAAGCTCAAATTATTCTTTTACACATGTGACCCCCCAAAAAAAAGAAAAAAATACTAAATTTCAAATTTATATTACTGAGATTACTCTTCAAAATAAAGACCCTCCACTTTATTTACTTCATCTAAAATAATTTTTGAGTATTTTGTTACAATAGATGAAACTTCTTTGTTGTACGACACATTTTGTGACCCTACAATAATTTTAATTTCTATTTCGGTATTGTCTAATTGGTCTTCATTTTCCTTTGCCTTTTTACAGTACTGTATAAGCTTGTCAGGTATATATTTGGGTGTTTTCATGTCTAAAATATAAAAGAAATTTTAATAAGCATAATTTTTCGGCAAAATTGTAATTACAAATTTTGAAGTAATTAAATATTTTTTCAATATTGCAGTACTTCATAGGGCAACCAACTATACACCTGAAAAAAAAGTATTGCAAAACCTCATTTTTAGTCCCCTACCAATGAAGTTGAAGGGGACTTTAGGTTTGCACTCTGTCTGTCTGTATGTCCGTCAATCCCTCCATCCGGCAAATCAGCTTTCCACACTTTTTTGTCATGCTTGAAGATATTGGTTTGATATCAGGTATTTAGTATAACTATAACAAGTTACAAATTTCTAAGTTCTAATTTTGTTCCGGTCTGATGTTTTTTGGCAGAGTTATAGACCTTGGACTTAGAAAAGTCACATAAGTAATCTGTTTTCCGAACTTTTTTTCGTCATGCTTGAATGTATAGACTTCATGTTTGCCATTTGGTTTAACCATGACAAGTTATAGATAACGTTTGATTTTGTTCCAGTCCGATGATTTTATGCAGAGGTATGGTCCTTGTCATGGTTTAACTATATGCCAAATATGAAATCAATATCTTCAATCATGATGAAAAAAACAAGCTTGTTCCGCGTTTGGTAAAAATCCAGTATAGTTTAAGAAAGTTATTCAGTAAGTTAACCTAAGTTGTTTATGCTAAAATTATTGTGTCTCTGGTTGATTGTCCTTCAATTTTTTTTATTGCTATATTTTTTTACTATAATGTTGACTATTACTTTTACTTTCAGCTTATATAATTAGATTACATTTGAACTCACGATTTTTTTTTTAATAATTTGGATATTTTTCTACTGCAGAATTCCATGAATCTTCATTAGTCTGTTCGGTGAAGATTCTTTCCAGAGCCCA